GGCATCATGGCAGGGGAGGCTCTGGATAATCAGGTAGCCAGATGGCACATCCCGGGGGCATCAGCCAGCCTCATTCTCAGTCCCTCCAGCACTTGCTCAACACACTCTTATTTTTTTTAAATATATTTGTATTGATTTCAGAGAGGAAGGGAGAGAAAGATAGAAACGTCATTGATCGGCTGCCTCCTGCACGCCCCCCACTGGGGATCAAGCCTGCAACCCAGGCATGTGCCCTTGACTGGAATCGAACCTGGGACCCTTCAGTCCACAGGCTGCCACTCTATCTGCTCAGCCAAACTGGCTAGGGCTCAACACACTCTTGAGCAACGTGGTGATGATGGGAAGAATGGACACTACTTATGGGTTCAACAATATGGACTTGCCTCACCAAGGCCGACCTGGCTAATGCCACGACTGTATGCCCAACTTACCACAACAGAGACAATGTTGAATACCCAAGATATCACCATTCAGAAGGGTTCCTCTGACTACCTGGTGCCAGGTTGATTCCACTGGATCCTTTCCAACATGGGGAGAGCAGTGATTTGTCTTTATGAACGCAGCCAGAATATAAGTTTCCAGGCATCAATGGGAGGGAGTGAGAGTGGTTTTCTCACTATTATAACACACAAAGCCCCACAGTATTAGTTTCCTGTGGGTACTGGGACAGATTACTATAAACTTGGTGACTTAACGCAACAGAATTTATCCTCTCACAGTTCTGGAGGCCAGCACTGCATCCGTTTCTCTGGGCCTGAATCAAGGTGTCAGCAGGGCTGCCCTCCCTAGACTCTGGGGGAGAATCTCTGCACCCTGACTCTCCCAGCTTCTGGTGGCTGCTGGCATCCCCTTGCTGTGGACACATGACTCCTGCCTCTGCTTCTGTCTTCATATTGCCTCCTCCTCGTCTGTGTATGAAATCTCCCTCTGTCTCTCCCTTAAGAGGACACTTGCAATTGGATTTCGGATTTACTGGTTAATCCAGGGTAATCTCCTCATGTCAGATCATTAACTTAATTGCATTTGCAAAGATCTTTTTTCCTTATAGGGTAACATTTTACAAATTCCAGAGATTGGGCCCTGACATCTTTGGGTGGCTACTATTCGGGCTACTGCACCCACTCACAAAACTTTTGCTTCTTGTCCCCACAATACTGGGCTCTGCTAGTTTGGAGGTCTTCGTTCTCAAGGGAAGGGAAGCAACACAGTTTTCATTGAATTGGAAGTTGAAACTTCTAACTGGGCATTTTGGGCTCCTCATGCCATTAAACCAGCAGGTAAAGAACGAATTAATGTATTGGCTGCCTTACCGATCTTCATTACCAAGGGGAAACTTGCTGCAGGAGGATAAGGGTGAGGAGGACTAGGTCTACAACCAGGGGGATCTCTACAGTCCCTCTTAGTGCTTCCATGTACAGCAATAGAAGTTAATGAGCCCTGGCCGGTTTGGCTCACTGGATAGAGCGTTGGCCTGCAGACTGAAGGGTCCCGGGTTTGATTCCGGTCAAGGGCATGTATCTTGGTTGCGGGCACATCCCCAGTAGGGGGTGTGCAGGAGGCAGCTGATTGATGTGTCTCTCTCATCAATGTTTCTAACTATCCCTCTCCCTTCCTCTCTGTAAAAAATCAATAAAATATATTTTTTTTAAAAAAAGAAGTTAACGAAAGCTACGGCACCCCAAACCATGCAGGGCCATTGAGGATTCAGAACCTTCAAGAATGACTATTTGGGTCACTCTACCATGTAAAGAACCCTAAGCAGCTGAGGTCCTGGCCGAGGGCAAAGGGAACATAGAAGGGCAATAGAAGAAAAAAAGATATATATGATCAATAGATATACAGCATAGGTCAACTATGGCATTGTGATGAGTTACCAGAAGGCCTGCATGCGTATTTTTCTTCCTTGCTTGGTGTGTGTGTGTGTGTGGTGTGTGTGTGTGTGTGTGTGTGTGTGTGTGTATATGCGTGCATTATATGTTAATTTATTTTCCCTCCCTTCTTCTTTCCCTCTATTGTTTTATATAAATTGTGATGGCTACCTTAACAGCTTATTGTTTAGTTGCAGGAGGGGAGAAATTAACATTACCCAAATGTGGATTCAACAACTAACTCCTAGAGATGGATAATCTATTGGATGGTGGGACTTCCTGTTTTTCCCATTTTTCGGGGAGAGAGTTAGAGTGTCTTCATTTGTATGCAAGATAGTTTCATCTTATTAGGTGGAAGTTACTGTTGCTACATGCAGATTCAAATATGTGTGAATTGATGTGTTTGGATACTGAATGTCCAAAGGGGTGGACTGTAGCAGTTAGTAAGCTATTGTCTTTTAGTGCCAAATGCAGGGTCTGTCATACATACTAGTCTGTCATACTAGGGCTGGGACTCTTCAAACCACATTACTCCTTTTAGCTCCCTTTGACAATGAGGGACACTAGAGAAACACTGGAAGGCAGGAGGAGTGGAGACCTCCTTCTTCCTTTGCTTACCAACCTTATCAGCAACAGCCTGGTAGCAACAGTTGATTGCAGCCTTCGGCATTTTTCTGCACTCCCAATCTTCAGTGCATCCCCTAAAAGGACTATCACCAACCAGATAGCAACCCCTCTTCAGACCTCTGAGCCCAGCACTTTAGGGCGCATCCCCAATCAAGCTCGTGGGTTCTGCTAACCCCAACCTCTTCCCTTGTGTAGCTGCTTTAGGAGCCGTAGCTGCTTTCTGCAGTGATTTTTCTCCAGGTTGTCTCAGTGTTCTCTTGTGTTCAAGAGTAATGCAAGTGTAATCCATTCCTTATGGAAAATTCTCTTTGTTGAAAAACCTAGTATAGTTTATGTTTCCCTGACTGGGCCCTGGCTGATGTACACCATTAGGAAAGTGGCACCACTCTTCACTGAGGTACTGAGCCAAAAGAAAGTTAATTTGGAGGTGCAGGGGGTCATCATGAGAGGTCAGCTTGCCTGAGAGGAAGGCTGAGACAGAAGACAGATTGCTGATGTGTTTTATTACCTGGATCTAACTATGCATGGAGCCAAACCCAGCCCTTGGACTTTTCATTATCTGGGCCATTAAGTTTCATTTTTGCTTAAGCTAGAATGGATTGAGTTTTTGTTGTTACAATCAAGAGTCCTGACTAATCCAAATCACCTCCTCCCACCCCCAGGCCAGGTGCCCCACACCACAGCCACCAAACAGCCAAGGCCAACCACATCCTACAGAAAACTTTAATGAAACCAATAAGTTAATAAGTTAACAAAGTGAGGTACTTGCATATCTGAGAACCGGTTTGGTGGGGAACCTTGCTTGCGGAAGGAGCGAGGGCTTCTTCCCCGGTCTCCTTTAGTCAGAGGATAATCCCATTCTCCTGCCCCTCTCCACAGCTCTGTCTCTGAGGGGCCCAGGGGTGGCTCTCTGGGGACAGTGCAGTGCAGGTGAGGTTAGCCGGCATAGGCTCCATCCAGGGCATGATGGTGACATGCAGAGGGCATGTTGGGCAGAGGCTGGGCACCATGGGGCTGAGCAAGATCCAACCCCAGCCCTGGCGCTGGTGCATGCAGGTCCCCAGTCATGAGATGCAGGTGGTTGGGCCTGAGCCCCTTGTTCACTGGTACCCCACAGAGGGTCCCCCTACACATCACTCTCCTGCCACTTGCAATAGCTTTGCAGAAGAGGGACAAAGAGTAGGGATACCAAAGAGCTGCTGGGGGCCTGGAGTGGGTGGGGGTTTATGCCAGTAGAGGGGCTGCCAATTAAAGTGAACAGTGGGGTATGGAAGGAGGGGAAACAGTGCATGTGAGTGCTGGATGCACAGTTGGTGCCTGAGCAATGGTGGTTGCTAGGTGCATTATTTTTCTCTCTGGGAGTTACAGTGACCAGGAAGGCAGCAAGCCTAGATAGAAGCGGGCCTGATAACCATCTGGGGAGGGGCCTGGGATCTTTCCAGTGCTGTCCAGGCCCCAGAGGCCTAGGCCTGAGTTGTGCTGTGGGGACGTCGAGGAGGGCCCTTGGGGGCAGGCAGAGGCAGCAGTTAGGGCTCCTGGACCAGTGAGGAGTAAATCTTCTTGAGAAAGGAGAGCTGGTAAAGCTCTGGGGTGGGGCCTGGAGAGACCTGGGGTCCCTTCAGTGCTCCCTCTCCTACCTGGATGGAGTGGGGGGCACCACTTAGTGGACATCATCCTGCAAGGACAGTCCACTGGCATCAGCTGCAGAGGCCCCGGGAAGGCTCAGTGGCTCTGTGCTAATGTCTCCATGTGTGTAACTGTGTGTCAGCGTGAGTGTGAGACTTTCTGTATGTCTGGGGAAACTAAAGAGACATGTTCGTGTGACGTGGGAGCACTGTCTGTGGGAGATTTTGGGGAGAACACAGAAACGTGTGCTGTCGAATGTGAGTGGAGGGCCAGAGAGAGGAGTGGACACCTGGCAGGAAGAGGGTGCTCCTGGGAGGAAAAACTGGAAAGGGAAGAGAGGCCCAGATGCTGCTCTTGGAGGAGGTAAGGGAGAAACAGGCCCCATGCTGGGTGGGGAGGGGTGATAAGCCAAAGAGTGGAAATGGAGACCATGGCCAAGCAGCCTGAGACCAGCTACTGCTGGGGGCCCATCTCCCAATGAGGGATGGGCAGAGGGACCCCATGGGGGTCCCCAAAGTTGCATATTTAACATAGTTTGCATATATGGTGCCCACCTGCTTAATGGCAGGGTCCTGTGCTTGTGCGTACCTGTGAGGGCACCTTGGGCCCACCCCCAAGGGGGCGGGGACTTGGCGGGAGGGCTTCCCTGCTCCGTCCGAAGGGCGGGCCGAGAGACCTCACCTTGCATAGCTGGAAGCTGGTTCAAGACCCAGAGCCCCAGCGACCCGCTGCCACTCTCCGGGCAGTGCCCCTGCCCCGGGCGGG